TGAGGATCCCCCATGATTTTATGATGCAGTGTTCGGTTTCGAATTTAGAGACATCCCGGGGCAACATGTGTAAGAAAATGTTTTTTTATGCGTGGATTTCAGACGTTTTAACGTACGCCGTATATGTGTGTTTGTATGTGTGTTTGTGTATGTGTGTTTGTGTGCGCATGTGTGTGTGTATGTGTTTGCGTGTGTGTGTCTAGCTAGCTTGATATCTTTTACTTATTACATACATAACTTTAAGAGAGTAAGGAAAGAAAGATAATATCCTTTAACATGCTAACGTAGACACATACAGAGCTAAATACACACACACACACACAAATAGATACAAACGAACAAAGAAACTAACTAACAAACATACACACAAACAAACAAACACACATACATATATAATACCCACAAACAAACAAACATACATACAAACAAAAAAACATACAAACAAACAAACATAAATACATACATACAAACAAACAAACATACATATAAACAAACAAACAAACAGACAGACAAACAAACAAACAGACAGACAAACAGACAAACAAACAAACAAAAATGACACGCACGAACTTTTGAAAATTCGATTACAGCAGTTAATTCAGTAGCCTAAGTTGGACGTATAACACGTCCGCACGCACATTGCAGCGATGTAAATATTAATTTCGTCGCTTTCTTTATGTCTCTATATACTAATTGTTTCTGTACGTTTTGTTTGTTTGTTTGTAGGTGTGCATACATGTTTGTCTGTCTGTCTGTCTGGCTGTCTGGCTGTCTGTTAGCTTGTTTTTATGTTTCTTCTAAAAGTATTTATTCGCGTTTTTGAATGTATTGCATTCGTCATCATCTTCACCGTCCGTGTTTATCATCATCATCATCATAGCCATTATCATCATCATCATGTTCTTCTTCATTTATTCGTCATCATCAGCAGCATCATCAACATCTTTCCAAAAATGTCATTAGCATCATAATCGGCATCATAGAATATCATCATCATCATTTTTATCATCATCATCATCATTTTTATCATCATCATCATCATTTTTATCATCATCATCATTTTGAGACCATCGTTATCATCACCTTAGCCTCATTGGAGAATGATATATTGTCAGTTTAATGCATTCAATCAATCAAAAATTGACCATAGTTGAAGCAGAGATCGCCACATAATGTATATGTTGTTGTTGTTGTTGTGTTTGGTAATGGTGTTGCTAATGGTGTTGTTTTGTTGTTGCTAATGGTGTTGTTTTTGTTGTTGCTAATGGTGTTGTTGTTTATGTTGGAGGTGTTGTTGTGGTTGTTGTTGAAATCGTTTATACTGTAATAACATTGACGTCATTTTAGATGCTGTGGATTCGATATAACTTCTGACGTTTAAAATCATTTTATTTACATAGACAAGAGATAAGTTTAAAAAAAAAATTTAATTCTCTTTGTCATCACGGACCATCTACTGTCACCGCCAAATATTTGCTCTTTTTGAAAGGTGCAAACACACTTTAAACGCATAAAAAAAACTTAAATTTGCTTTTTTGTTTGCATGCAAAAACACACTCACAGACACTCCCAAACACACACGCACACACACACAGATACACTCCACACACAGGAACGCACACAAGCACACAGACAGACAGACAGACACACACACTCACACTCGCATACACACTTGGCCACACAAATATTGTCACAAGTACTGTCACACACACACACACACGCACGCATACATACACACAAACACACACACACACACACACACACACACGCACACACACACGTACAAATACAATTTAAAGAATTAGCACTCCTAATCTCCTCATTGAAACCTAGTTACGTGCCGGGCTAACATTTATAACTCTCATACAAATTGAACTCAGGTATTTCAGTTGGTGCCTTATTTTACAATGGGATATTAAAACGTATTTTGTTGTAAAAAAAAGTATAAAAAACTACAATTTTATTTCTGCTATTTCTCAAATATATCGAAGGTTTTACTTGCTAATACTACATTCTCTACTATTTTAAAAAAACGAGTATTATTAATACAACTACTACTACATTATTGCAACAGTTAGTTGATTACACTATATTACTTACTGATATTAATGCTACATATCTATATAAATGTCTATATATATATACATATGTACATATCTATATAACATGCAAAAACTAGTTTTTAGTTGAGCTTATTTATTTATTAATTGTTTATACTACTATTACAAGTCACGGCTCTTCTACTAATTACTGCTGCTACTGATGCTACTATTACTTCTACTAATACTGCTACAACATTTTTACTACTACTACTACTACGCATACAACTGCTACAAAATCACTGTTGTAGTAGCTAGTAACACTAGTATATAATTAGCAATGACAATTTTTATCAAAAGTTTATATATTTCTACTGATTTTTTTAGGTATAATTGTGTATTTTTAATTATTTTTATTCATTTTCTCCTCTCTACAGCTCAGTTTAATTGCATTTAATCCAAAAACCATAAAATAAAGCGCTATAAAAATGGGACGAGCGCATGTAGATTGTAATAAAGTTAATGGTGGAATTCTGTGCTGGAGACCTATTCCAGTTGGAAAGAAAAGTTTATCTGGTCTATCAAATTTTTGGCTTTACTAAAGTCCTAATTATTTTTTCTATTATTTCAATTGTTTTATGTCATTATTATTATTATTATTATTGTTTATTATTATTATTATTATTGTTTATTATTAACATTGTTATTGTGATTACTAACATTGTCATCGTCATCATTATTATTATATTACCATCACCATTGTTCTTTTCATCACCACTTCTTTATTTCCTAAAAAAAAAATAACTCTTAACTTTTTTTTATCAATTTAAAAAAATAATGACGACTTAATCGTATAATTATGACGTCATCATCGCCTACGTTTGAAGCGAGAGTCATTTGTTAGCGTTGGGCCACGTCAAATTTGACGTTCTTGTAATATATAGCCGGCTAAATTACTACTATTACGATGAAAATTACTCTATATTATGCTATATTATAGCATATATATATGTATTATTTTTATATATATATACATATATATATATATATATATGTTGGTAAAAAAAAATATATATATATATCTATCTTCTTATATTTATCTTATATATATATATATATATATATATATATATATATATATATATATATATTTATCGAACTTCTAACTACAATAATCATTATCATTATTTTTTTAATTATATAACAATAATTATTATTTTATTCATACTGATAATTATTAATACAAATATGGCGTTGTCGTTATAACTCGCTCTGAGAAACAGCCCACGTTCTACCAATAATAATGATCGATGGTCGTCTTTAGATTTCCGTTAAGTGGGGCCATTAGTTGTCGCCTTCAGTTCACGATAATGACGTCATTTAGATTTTAAATTCGATTTTTATTTTATGGTCTTTTGCTTAAAACTTCCCTGATAACTGGGGTGATAAACGACGGAGAGGTGATGGGGCTAATGGATGTTTTTACTGTAACTTTTTCTCCGGTGTTCCGGTTTAATGATGTAAATATATGTATAACAAATATGCTTGGGTTGGTTACATGACGAGCAGTTACGATACGAAAATCAAATATTTTTTTGCGGGTATGTCTTCGTTGAAGTATGGTTTAAAATTAATTAAATGCGATGTATAAATACATATTGATTGACAGGTTGATTGAGAATAGCTGGCATGGTTTCAACAAGCACTGAATACATTTGTCAGAACTTCGTAAAGTTCGCCAAATGATAGCACTCGTAAGGGACACGACGAATTTCGATGCATTCTGAACGACTTCTTCACCTCAAAATCCGATTCAATGAGGAAGCGTGAGTGAATCACGGAATGTTTGAAATTAATTTAATAAAGATTAATCTTTATTAGCAACGATTTCCTTATTACAAAGCCCAAATAACGAGGAGATGCTCAACTCACACCAACAACGCAGTTTCATTTTACTTTGTAAATTCTTTGGTTTCCCAGAAGTTGTTGCTGTATACCTCCTTATAATTTTTCGCAAGAACAGGTTCAAGCACGGCATTACGCACGCGAATCCTAAGTATTAATTTAATTGTAAGTGCCAACCGCGTTACACGTTCCGTTACAAATTCGACAAAAAAAAACGCAAAATAACGTTTCAACTCACATTTGTCTCACAACAACGCCCTACGTACAAGTCGACTATTATTTCAAACAAAATTCAACTATATTGTTACAAATTGAAACCAAGATACAATTACATTCGTTAGAGAAGTCATTGACAACCTGACAATCATTTGTTATCAATATTACCATTCTAAAATAAAAGCACCACAACACCAAATTTCTTTCTAGCATTTTTTTTTAATCTTTCTCCCTTTCCCTCTCTCTCTCTTTCTTTCTCATTCCTTTCTTCTTTAAAGTTCAAACCAAGCCTTATCCTCCTCTTCCTTCTTCTCCACTTCTGCCACATCTTCCTCCACCTTTTGAATTTTAACCTTGGATGTATCGATGTTCAAGCCAACTGGTTCCAAATTTGGATCTGTTGTTTGAATTTGAAGGAATCATTGAATGATAAATAAAACATAATTTTGTATAAATGGATACAAATTTCAAATAATTCCAAACAAATTTGCACAACAAATTGGAAAAATACGGAAAGGTTAGAAAAAGTTGAATGAAAAATTGACCAACCAGCAAAACTGAAGACAGGAAATTTATTGAAATCAACACCATCCTTGGCACCATATTGTCTGGCTAATTTCTCTAACTCATCTTTAAGTTGCTTTTCTGTTTCAGCAGTAGCATCAACTAATTTCCCTCCTGCCGATCTGAAAAATATTAAATATCTTAAAATTCTACATGCAAATACATGCTATTAATATAAAATTAGGAATTTAGTCAAGAAAATGAAATTTAGCCCTAACTTGCTCTTGTTAGCATAATCACGAATCTTATCAATGAAAAGTTTTTGGATGGGATCAGTTGCAACTGCCGCTACCTGCAAGCATGGTGCCGTGATTCCAATGTTACGACGTACCAGCCTTGAGACTGAACTTAGACTGAATAGACCGATCCTTGGCAACATGTTCTGAATGAAAATTTTAATTAAATTAATTCGTTATTCAATTATTTGATAATTAATTGAAACCAGTAACCGTAACGATAACGCCATAACGGTAACGTAACCCAATTTTATTTTATTTTTTATTTATTTGTAATATTCTTAGTCTTAAATTAAAAGTTCAGTTAGGTTCCTAATTTATGTTGAACTTTTATATTAATTTACACTAATCAGAAACCTAATTTTAAAGCAGATTTGAGATAAAAGATGAAATAAAAAAGTAAAATCATAAAAAAGATTGAAAAACAATCAGACAGATTCCACAAAAACGAGCCAAACTTACTGAAGGACGAAAAAACAAATCGGCCAAAAATTTACTAAAAGAAGTTAGGCGTTTAAAAGTTAATTTAATTCAATTATTGCAACTAATTTTAAAACACATTCTATACTTTAAAATCCTTAAATTTAATACAGAATTTTAAAAAATTTTAGTTTTTCAAAGATATAATATTAAATATATGTTAATATACTATTACAAAAATATGATTAGTATGTCAAAATCAGGAAAACTTGAGTTTTTGAGTTTAACCCAATAATTCAATGGTCAAAAATAAATTCAAATCGTCTATCTATGGTACTGTCCCTTGACGACAAATTTGAAATATTTAAATGTCCCATCGCGATAATATGATTCGTTAATTGTCAGATTTTAATATAGAAGACAAAAAATTAGGACAATTTGTCCAGCGGATTTTATTAAATCGGTAATTAAATTATGGATTCGTCGACAGACTCCGAAGGCTACAAATCAGAATCAGAGGATGAAATTGACGTAAAAGAAATTGAAAAAGTAAAATTTATTATTAAAAGTAAAAATTAATTAAATTATTAATTAATTGAAATTTTTTTTCTATTTAAATAAAAATAAAATTGCAAATTACATATAGAATAATATTAAAACAGTATCCTTTTACTCACATTTCAAGGTAATCTCAGAGTACAACGATAGATTGTACAGAGAGGGGGAAATAGAGTGTAACAAACTCCTACGCGAAGCTATGCAAAAATTTGTAGACGAAAATCCGGGACCACCCACTGAGGCTGATAATGATGATGATACAAGTGATGATGGTGATGGTAACAATGCCGATTATCTTCAACAACAAAATCAGTCACAGAAACAACCAGACGAACAAGGACAAACAACCATTACTTAAATAACTAATTACTTCTGATGATAAATTTGTGTATTGTATTATTTATATTGTATGTATTGTATTGTAACTTCATCATATAATCTAACCTGAGTTACATGTTTGTTGCTTTTTTTTGTAAAAAAAAATTATTTTTCGTAAATATATTCTTAATACCTGTAACTTGTAACACATTTCCAAGTGGTCAGACTATGGTATTCAAATTTATTTCTATTCAACTGAGTCATTTCTATTTATTTCATTTTTGTCATTTGATCAGTTTTTAAATCAAAATCAGACTGGCACTTTTTTAACATTCAAATAGTTTCTTTTTAATTGTATTTATCTATGAAAATTTATTTTGAGATGAAATATATGCTAGTATGTTAGCAGTTGTTAACTTTTTTAATTGATAATTCGAATGAATGAATGAGTGAATGAATTAATGAATTAATTAATTAATGATTAAACAAACAGCAATCCAGTTTACGATTATATAATGTGTTTGATTTTCAAATTGTTGGATCAGAAATTCAATCACGTCTTCGTTTATTAACAACAAAAAAACCTTTCGAAACAAAACAAACGAAATATCAGCTAAAGCAATTATACTATTTTTATTGAATTTATTAATGAAACATAATGCATTTCAAACGCGAGTTTTAGTATTAGCTTAGTGCGAAAATGGTATAGGTTTTACGTCTCTTAACTCCATTTGGTTGATTTACTCACTATTATTATTATTGTTGTTACTGTTGTTGTTATTATTATCATTTTGGGGAATTTATGTAGCATCCCAAATATTTTCTACACATTAAGACCAAATGCCGATGGTGCGATCACTAGAGCCACTGATAACATATTCCCCATCAAAATCCATGTATACACACTGCACTGAGTCCATGTGACCAGCCATCTCCTTCACCTGTCAGTCAGTCAGTTAGTCAATCAACCAACCAATCGATCGATCGATCAACCAATTAATCCGTCAATCAATCAACCTATCAATTTATCAGTCAACCAATCAGTCATTCAATCATTTATTTATTTATTCACTGTTTCAATCGATCAGCGATTCATTTATTTTATAACAAATTCTATCATAAGATCAGTCGATCATTCCATGTGACCAGTCATCTTTTTCACTTTTTAATCAATCAGACAATTAATCAACCAGTCAACCGACCGATCAATCAACTAACCTTCTGACTGGACAATTCGACCAACTTTACACAACCATCGTTGCAAGCCGCCACCGCCAGCGTTCCAGTCGAATCGAAGACCGCCATATTCACTGATTTAGTGCTTAGAGTTAGTTGAGTTAGTGGGGCCCTCGTCCGAACATCCCACGTCTTCAAATTCCCACCCATGTCGCACGAAATTATGCAGTTGCCCTTTGGATTTATTTTTTTTTTAAATTCAAGATTCAATTAAATTTAATTGCACTTTCATTTCGGCAAACTGATTTGTGTACGTGGTTTGATTGAATTAAATGACCAACCAATCAAATGTTCGTCAATCAATCAATCAAGTAAGAAAGCAATGAAATCAATCAATCATCAACCGACCGACCAAACAACCAACTAATCAACCAATCAATTAACCAATCAATCAAACAATCAATTGACCAATTAACCGACCAATCTACTGTATTAATTAACTAATTAAACCCCCAACCCTTAGGTTGAATCCGGCTTGATTGACAGGATCCTTGTGGCCAGTGTATACACCGCCGCAAATGTTCTGGGGTCGAATTAATTTATTTGTTTTTATTTCAGTTTTTTTAATAGTTTTATTGATCAATTAATTAAAATTTAATTTTATCGAGTCATCACTGACAAATAAACATATTTCTTATCTATCCTTTATGATGAGGAAATTATTTCCTGTATTCATTCACTGGCATTCATTCACTCATTGGTGCGAATTTAAATTTGTCGCGAGATGGTTTAATGGTTAAGGCGCTTGGTTCTGCCGTTGCAGTGACTGGATTCGCACGCAAGCAGACTCCTGCTTATCATAATACCAGCTAGCCAGCCAGCCAATCAATCAATCATTCAATCAATCATTCAATCAATCAATGAGCCAACCAACCAACCATTCTGACGTCCCAGAGACAAATCTTCTTATCAGTGGATGATGTTAGCATGATGTTGGAGTGATCTAGGAACTGAACGCTGTTCACCGAATCGCTGTGCCCTCTCAATATGTGCCTACATCTCAAACTAGTCATAATGATGATGGTTTGGGCAATGGATGGATGGATGGATGGATGGATGGATGGATGGATGGATGGATGAACGAATAAATGAATTACGAACAAATGAACGAATGAGTGAATAAACGAACAATACATAAATGTGAAGTATACAATCACGCTAATGAAACAAAAAGGAATAAATGAATTAAAGAAAGAAAGAGAGAGAGAGAGAAACTGCAAGAAAAGACTAATGCAAATGATGAATTTAGTCTAGTGGTTGAATGAATGAATGAATGAACAAATGAATGACCAACTGAATGAACGAATGAATAAAGGAATAAATGGATTAGCCGAGTGATTTTTTGTTGACAGACCAGTTTAAATCCCAAATCCTGGCAGTCTTGTCGAGAGAGCAAGTGGCAACGAGGTCTCCGGCTATGTGCCACGAACAACCCCAAACTGGAAACACGATCATCATTATAATTATTATAACCACTATCACCATCATCATTATCATCATCATCACCTGCTCTCACGTGATCGTAGAACGTATGCAGCAGGCAGGTTGTGTGCACGTCCCATATCTTCAGCGTGTTGTCACCGGAAACAGTTGCCAAACTACTTCCGCTGGTGATGATGATGATGGTTAATAATGATGATGGTGGTGATGTGGTAGGTGAAAGTAATGATGGTGTCATGTCATGATGAATAATGGCTAAGTATTAAATGAGTCTTTATGACAACAACGACGATCATAATTATTATTATGATAATTATGATTATAAATAATTATATTAACCAGGGATTGAAATCACAATCGGAGACCCAGTCCGAGTGACCTTGAAGACAGTTCTGAAGGTCAAGGTTGAAATTTTGGAAAGTCCAAAGTTTGCAGGTCATATCGTCGCTTGTCGTCGCCACCAGGTTGGCTGCTGTCGGCTGCTTCTTGACGCTGAGCAACGATGGCAAAGGTGGTGGTGGTGATGACGATGGTAGTGGTGATGATGATGAAGAAATTGATGGTGACGATGATAACGATGACAAGCTGGGGTCGTACCAACAAAACTAACATTAATCTAACTATACCAATAACTAATGAATATTTGTGAACACATCTAATAACTACCTCATTAATATTCATTTATGTTAATTCACTAGCCTGGTGACAGCCTCTCCGTGGGCTGGAAATTGCTTGTTCAGTCTGTAGCCGTCGGGTTTTTGAAGGTAAGCTGGAGTGACTTTGACATTCGATAACTTAGGGTTGTAGCCAAGGTCAGCGGGGATCTTGGACCAGCTCTATAAATAGATTTATTCATTTGTGGGTTTTTCCAAGCTGATGATCAAAGCCGTCACAAACATTATTGTAATCATTATCATCAAAATCATCATAATCATGATCATCACCATCACCCTTATCGTCATCATCATCATCTTTACTCACAATTTTGAGGTCGTAATCACCGCTCACATTACAAGCCGCATGGTTGGAATATTGATTGGGATTGGGATTAGAAGACGGATTAAGGGA